TCAGAAAGTGAGCCGGGGGGGGGGGCAGAGGGGCGGCCTATGGGCCGCAATCCCCAACCGGGGCCCCCCCCAGCCCCCGCTGTACCCCGCGGGGGGAGGGGGCAGGGCTAGGTTGGATGGTGCCCGCTGACCTCTGGCCCCGCCCTCCTCACGACACCACTACCAGTCCCGGGGGGGCGGGGCAAGCACAGTGAACCCAGCCCCCGGAGGTCACGGTGGCCGATGCGGGAGCAAATGCAGTAGTTTCTCCGCGTTGAGTCTGGCTCTGCAGGAGCGACTCGTGGACCAGAGGGAGAAACCCACCAATGCTCAGCGGCCGCCTTCCTGACCTCGGGCAGAGGAGGGGGCTCGGGGACGGAGCTGGGCAGAGGCCGTGCTCGCGAGGGTCCTCAGGGCCAGCGCAGCCGCGGGAAGGTGGGCAGTGTGGGATCCGTGGGCCCGTCGTCGGGAAGGTGACCGCAGAGAGGGGCTGAGGCAGGGAGGAATGAGGGAGGAGTTCACCAGATGGCAGAAGCAGTGGGGCTGTGAGGAAGGGGAGGACCAGTGAGGAGAAGGGAGTCCAGGGGGCCCCCTCTGGGCGGGGTTGCAAGGTGGAGGGCTTGCAGCCCATGTCCCCTCCCCTGTACTTCCCCTCCTGAAGCTGCCAGCCAGAGCGCTCTGGCAGGTCAGGAGCAGAGGCCAGGTGTGTAGGGCTGGTGAGGGGCCCGCAGCTTCCTGGACCGACCCGCCCTGTGTCCCTCTGTCCCCTCTGTGCAGGCTGCAGCCCGGGAAGCCCACGCCCTCCTGAACTCAGGGCAGCCGGGGCGAGCGCTGGGCTACTGCTCACTGGCCGTCCTCGCGGGAGGCAGCGATGCCCGTCACCTGCGCCTGAGGGCCACCTGTCTGGCTGAGCTGCAGGAGTTTGAGCGGGCACTTGAGGACCTGGACCGTGTGCTCCGGGAGGATGGGAGGGACGGTGGCCTCCCGACGCAGGTGGAGGATTTGTGCTCCCAGGGACGCCTGCTGCTGAGCCTGGGAGATGAGGCCAGGGCCACGGGCGCCTTCACCCGGGCCCTCGAGCTGGCGCCCGCGCTGGCTCAGAGCAGCCTGTGGGAGCGGCCAGGCCGGGACCCCACTGCCCAAGTGTTCCTGCATCAGGGCCAGACCTTGATGGAGGAGCAGCGCTATGCAGAGGCCTGGACAGCCGCGGAGAATGGCCTCCTGGTAGACCCCGAGCACAGTGGCCTGAAGAGGCTGAAGGCGAGGGTCCGGAGGGAGGCCTCCTTGGGCTGCCGGCTCCACTGACCCCGTGCTCTCCGGGGCACGGGTCGCCCTGTCGCCCCCCGCCTGGGGCTCCTGAGCAGCAGGACACCGTGGGCCTCACCCATGTAGATCAGACTCAGCTGGGAAGTGAGAGTCTACAGGATCACCACGTTTCAGGTTAGCGAGAAGACGTTCGCGATAGCGCATGGATGGTATTACGTCATCGCAAGATGACAAAGTTGGAATGGGCAGGCCCCAAGGAGATTACTAAGCAATGAAAAGAAAACAAAGTACGTGTTCCATTCAAGGAGTCAGAAAAAGACAGTAAAACAAGGGAAGTCAGGAGCTAGGAATCAAGGACAAAAGCAGAAGTTAATAAATTAGGAACAGAAGGATAGAAGAATCAATAAACCTAAAACACGGTTTCTCAAAAATAAAGCAGGTGAACCAACAGCTAACTTAGTGGAGAAAGCCCAGGGTCCCTCCGCTGGGCCGTCCTGCTGCTGTCAACTCCAAAGGTCTTTAAACTCGTTCATGCCAAGAAAAAGAAGAAAAGCTTTCAAGTTCATCGTTGAAGAAAGCATAATCTCAACCCAAAGAACGCTACAAACCAATTGAATTACCAGTTCCAGAATCCTAAATGTCATGCTCGGCTCAGCAGCACACGAACTGAAATTGGAACGAGACAGATTAGCGTGGCCCCTGCACGCACTTGTCTTGCAAAAATCCTAAATATCAACAAGCCCAAGTCCAGCGGCGCGTTCACACTACACCTCGAGCAACGTACACGGCAATACGAGGACGGTTCAAGGTGGGGGACGCTACGGTCTATCGTAGTAACCGAGCTACGAGGAGACAAGTCCCGTGGCCCTTCTTGGGGGCTGCAGGGGGCAGGGTGTATGGTCACACTGGACAGATCCTACGCCTTTGGATTCCTTCTGTTGTACTCGGGAAGTTCTGGCATCTCGTCTTCCTTCACTAGAGACCACGAGTGAGGGTTGCACTCAGCCACGGGGACTGGCAAAACCACCGGGCACACCGTCTCCAGCGTCTGGGGGGGGCGTGCCCACGGCCTTAGCGCCGACCCAGCCCAGAGCTGTGTTCCCTCCGCCGTGGCCTAACACCCTCAGACTCCGTTCTCACGCAGAATTCCCAGGGTCCCCTGTGTGAATTAGCGCAATCTTGCGATTATCGGGGCGCATATGCTATTTTCTCCAGGGTTAGACATTGTACCCGCCCCCTCCCCCAGGATGCTGAGATCAGACCCCATTTATGGGTCTAGAGTCCCTGGGTGAGGGAGGGGGTCATGGAGGTTGAAGAGAATGAGCATCCTTCTTTCTGGGCCCCTGACCCCCATGAGGCTCTCAGGGTTGATGATGAAAACAAGGCTCGTCTCCTCCCACACGAAGATGGGCTGCACCCCTGGAAAGGGGCCAGGGACTTGGGGTTCAAAGTTCTCAGCTTCATCTGAGCCCCCTTCCTACTTCCAGGGTCGCATCCCTTCGCAATCAGCGCCCCGATTTCTCACAAGAAAGTTGACGTGTCTGTAAATGCGACCAACTTTGTAATTACACGGCTCACGGGATTACCTGTCACGTTTGACATTTAGCAGCATGGCCCGTGCTCGTAACCGGGTCCTCTCAGGGCCGCCATGGAGCCCCCTGACTCCCGGGCTATGACCTGAGCTGGTCATTTTCTTCCTGTGTGTGCTCCAGGACGCTCAGGAGAGCCCACCCCCTGCCACAGTCCCTGCGGCCACCATCACTGCAGGAACAGCCACGCGCCACAGCGCCTGGGCTCCCACGCCCCCTGATTCAGTGGGTGCGTCACAACCACCACGGTGACCGCTCCATCACCATCAGTCGTGAAGCCCCTGCACACCACAAGTCTCCCTTCCCGACGAGCCTGGCCGTGCAGACAGGCCCAAGGACACGACCAAGCCAGGCCCCAGATCCGTCTTTGTGGGTCTGGTGGCAGGGACCACTCTTGGTACCAATTTACGTATCGGTCAGGGTCACTCGAGATGGAAACCACACCAGTGATCGCAATGGTGAGGGTTTAATATAAAGAATCGCTAATCAGCTAAGAAGGTGGCAGTTATGTAATGGGCAGAACCCTAGGGACCGTGGAAGCAGCAACCACAGAGTTCAAGACGGATGAGCAGCCTCTCCGAACAGGCTGCTGTCCGTCACCCACAACCCTCCGCTGGGTGACCGAGCTCCCCTGAGCGTGCCCCGTGCCCCGTGTGCTATTTGCCGGCCACACCTCTGCGCCTGGCACGGACCATCCGTTCTCTCAGACTCTGTGACGGCTCTTCTAGGTGAGGGGACTGGCTTGGTGGCTCAGTGACAGAGACCAGGGGCAGTCAGACGTCGGCCCCTTCCCTCCTGTGCGGGGGACCCAAGGCCTGTTGTCAGGACGCAGCTGTCCGGGAGGGTGTGGGGGTGCTCCCACAGGCCGGGCTCTCACCGCAGCTTTGTGAGTGCTCCGGGAATGTCCTCAACTTCCTCCAGCCCGATTGTCTTCTCTGAGCAGGGCGCCTCGCGCCTGTCCACAGCACGGATGGACAGACCCGCGGGGAGATCCGATCCATGCCCTGCAGAGGCCCAGAGACACCTGCCAGGTGGGGCCGGGCTTCGTGAAGAGGACAGGAGCTGCCCCAGACGATCCTGCCCGAGAGCAGGGGTGGCGACAGTCAAGGGCAGGTCTTAGACCTGCCCTCGTCCCAGGGCCGATGAGGGAGGTGGTGCCCACCCCTCCCCCCATGGGAGGTTCCTCCAACCCCCCATCTCCCATCTTTTGCCCAAGATACAGGCAGGGGTGAGCAGGGAGCCCCCACTGACCCCCGAGCTCACTTAGGAAAAAGGCTTAAATCCACCCTCCAGACTGTCCTGGGCACGATAAGATGGGGGCTGGGACTCTGCACCCAGGACCTGGCCAGGCTGGGGGTCTGTAGCTCCCTGCCCTGTGGAGCCGTGGCTTCCCTTGGCCGCCAGGTACCCGAGCACCGCCTTGCCGGCCCCACCAGATGGTGTCGGCCTCAGCACCACGCCCCGCTGGCCCCTGGCTCACAGCTTCTGGACGGCTGCAGACAGAACCCATGAACCGGCAGCTTGGGTGGGAACGGCGGGCTGGGCTCCAGCCAGCAGCCAGCATCTGCATCCCGGCGGCCTTGGTGGCGGGGTAAGAGGTGGTACTCTGGCTGGACCGTGTCACCTGTGGGGTCCCCAGGGCCGTCATGCTCTGGGAAGGAGCTTCGAGCTGGCCGAGCTGGCCCCCGGCCCACCTCAAGGCCCCCGGGATGGGCAGTCCCCCGGCGGTTCACTCCCCTGACCTTGACGTCGTGTCCTTCCAGGCCAGCAGCCCAGGTGCCCCAGGCTGCCGGCTCCTCGCTCTGCCTGGGTTTCTGGCCTTCAGATGGGGTGGGTGCTGGGAGACAGACCAGACAGGGGAGTGAGGAGAGCCTCGCCTGGGCAGTGAGGGTGGGGTCGGGTATCAGCCCCTCTCCCTCAGTGCTGCCCTCCTCCGGGGGGGGGGGGGCAAGCAGAGAGCTACCCCAAAAGGGTGTGCCATCTCCCAGCAGGGCCCAGCACGGGCGGCCCTGCCCAGACACCCTTCCAGAGTCCCAGGGGCCTGGGGGACCGCTTGTTCCGTGGGGTTCTGAAACAGAAGCAGAACCGTGCTGGCACCCGAGTGGGGCCCGAGGAACGGAAGCCTGGGTTGTGGCTGGACCTGCTCTGCCCGGAGCCCCCGGCCTCCGTCAGCCGGGCGACTGGTTCACGCTCAGAAGCACTGGCGTGCCCCTGTCAAGTCCAGAAGCCTCTCCTGTTCCCCTAGCCAGGACCGACTGCCCCTCAAGAGTCCCCAGGGGCAGAGGGAGGCCGCTGAGCCCCAAGCTGGCGGAACGTGGGCGTCTCGGGTAGGGAGCACCACCTCCCTTTATACCTGGCGAGGCCCCCAGAACCCACCAATCTCACTGGAGACTAAGGGGCAGAGCCCCACGGCGGGGCCTTGGCAAACCCCACTGCCAGTGAGGGTCTCTGGTCCCCGCCTCTCAGGCAGGGCGGGGGGAGGGCCTGGCCTTCCTTCCCGGCAGCCCCCGCAGTCCCCTCAGGACGGTGGGGTCGAGGAGGGAGGAGGAAGCAGGACGCAGGGCCAGAGGCCCGCAAAGGGACCCTCGCTCGGCCAGGAGCTGCTCTCTGCCCCTCCCCCACACCAGACCCAGATGGAACCCCCTGCCGGTGAGTGGGAGATGGTCCCGCCTCCGGGGAACCCTCGCCTGCGTCACAAAGGAGGCCCGGAAGCCTCAGCGGAACCCCACCTGAAGCCACTGCTCTCCGGCCTTGGGAGCCCTCCCACCTGGCCCCAGCTCACGGGAGCTCTAGGCCAGCCCGACCCAGCCTTCTGAGACCTGCCCGTGGGACGCGGCCGCCCCCGAGTGACCTGAAGGTGGGCCGAGGGAGGGGGCCTGCCTGCCAGGGCCGGCTTTCCTGGGCAGCACGGAGGGTGCACCCTAGCAGCGCCCAGCCCGTCTCCCAGGGGCCGGGCAGAGCATTCTGTGAGCACGCCCACACCGTTCCCCTCCGACGAGCCCCATTTCCTTGGCTGGCCACCATAGCCCGGAGAGGCCTGCTCTGATTCCCTAGCACTTGGTTTTGCCCTTAGCCCTCAATATGAAAGTGTGTGCGCACTTTTCTGCCAAACCGAGTTCCTGGAAGCGAGCGGCACAGAAGGAGAGAACGCATTCACTAGTTCTGATCTAAGACAAAAGCCATTGGAGAGGCCAGAGCCACAGACCCTAGGCCAAGGCTCGGACCCGTCCAGCCGAACCCGTTCCTTCGTTCATCGTTCAGCAGACGTCGGTTGATGCCTCTGGGGTCGTGGGTACCAGAGTGGGTGCTGGGGACCCAGGCAGACGGAGCCCCGCGCCCCCATGGTGCCGACATTTCCCATGGGGAGGGGGACCATGGAAACAGAAGTCAGGGGCATCGAGCCTGAATCGCACATCTGGTGGCAAAACAGAAATCAGGTCCGGGGGTCAGGCTGGTGAAGACGGACCCAGGGAAGGCTCCACTGGGAAGATGGCCTTGAGCAGGGGCTTTTGGGGAGTGAGGGG